TAAGCTGCACTATTCGTGTGACCAATCAGCGTTTAACTGGCCTCGGCGAATGGTGTGCCGCAAAATGATTCCTGATTCCCTATTAGCTAATCGCCAAGGGAGAACACGGTACCCCGGTCCCCATTTCGGTACCACTTCGATAGCATCCTACCTGCGTTTGCCGCCGAGTAATCCTGCCCTTCAACCTAGGCTTTGGAAGGTGAACTTTTGTTGACCGACCCAGTCTGCACGTTCCCTAAAAATGACGATCATTGCTTGGCGATCGCATCAGCCCGCTTGCGGTTTCTGGCATTGGTGTCTTAAGGTGTACTAATGATAACATACCGGTTATGTGGATACACTTTTGTCGTGTAATAGGCGGATAAATATACGTAGAATTATAAGCCGTCGCCGGAACCTGGGGTTGAATCAGGATTCTATCGGCAAGGCATGAGAAATGCCTTTAGCGAAGTAATTATTGAAAACTACTGCTGGAGTGAGAAAGAGTCTAAATTATTAAGCAAGTCACTTTCGGTCTCCTAAAGACATATCCAGAAAGAATTACCTATGTAGGATACGCCGGCAACCACAGGTTTTGTAACCCCCCCTCATAAACGCTAAACGCAGGCTCGTTTAAAACGAGGGTGACGGTAATGTACGGGTTGGCAAAATAATTCTACAATTAAAAAGTAAAGTAACAGTAAAAGTAGGTAAGAGGTGAAGTATTTATGTACGTTATTCACTTTAAGAAGCAGAGCGAAATATGGATAAAAAGCCTGTGGTAGCAATTTGTTTGGCGCCGGCATCCGCTGAGCGATTTATGTTTTAAAACTATAAGCAAACCACAATGGGTATTAATAATTAATAAATTAATGTTTTCAGTAATAATTAAGGAAATAACTATTAGCTAACTGTTAACTAATTAACTATATAACACAGTAGATGCATTGTATAATGAGTGCTGACAGAACACAAAAAGGTTTTGGTAATAGTATTGAAGAAGACTTTAAGTAACAGGGTAGGTGTTCGACAGCATAAACTGTTGGGAGATGCACAAAGGGTTGCTTCTCGTACGTATAATATAAAAAAAACAATAGAATGCCCACTAAAAATTATAGTAGGTGTTTACATAGGTGAAATGCACAAGGGTTACACAACTTATGTTTAATGAAAGACCGTTAACCATCCAGAGGACCATATGTCTCTTTATGCCCAGGTTGATCAGAGAAGCATGTTGGACAAATGCCCTTCAAAAGAAGACGTTCTTTGGGACACAAGGTTACTTCATTCAGAAAACTGAGAGGAAGACGATTCGACCATTTGGCAACACTTTTATTCGCCTGCTGTTTTGACTTCCGTCGCGGATTCTTCATCAGAGGCATAAATAGAAAGCAATAGCAGAAGCGTCAAGCGAGTAAGAATGTTGTCCCGGCGATCGAATCGTCTTCTTCGACGCTGGATCCTCAATTCGTCGTCAGACTTGGGCAGATGTACAATGTAGATGATGAGCACGACATTATATCTGGACCCCGAATATCTACGCATACTAGTGTAGAATTAAAATTTCAAAAGTGCTTGCACAGTTATGTGGTCATCTGGTGTGAACGCTAATTGGCAGCTGCAATTTGCATCAGCCCTTAGTGGACAAAATTAGTAGTCGTAATAGCGTAACCGAGTTGGATGGTATGTACAAACATATCAAAGAAAGAGAAAAGACACATGAATCATAACTGCTGATTAGCACCCACACCGGATGACTAATGATTATCCACCTCAGACTCACGCAAATCACAGTTGCCAATTAGCAATAACGCTTTAGCAACTACTAATATTGTCCACCGTGCATTGGCAAAAATTGCAGCTGTCAGCTAGCAGTCACACCAGATGACTATATGATTGTACCGGCACTTTTGAAATTTCAATTGTTCATTGCGGATCTTCTCAAGCCGGAGGACGACCTGGGGATCTAGCGTCTAAAATTTACTGAAATAAAGTGACCTTATGTCCTAAAGAACGCTGTCCCTCGAAATTATATTTCTTGGGATGCTTACCTTCCAATTTATACAAAAAAATACATTGCCAATGGAAGTGGACATGCGTGTCCCAGGAAGCAATTGAGAAGACGTCGAATCAATCGTTGGACAATATTCCTATTCGCCTGACGTTTCGATATCCGTCGCGGATTCATCATCAGAGACATGAACAGTAGCAAAAACGGGTAATGCATGCACAGAAGTTTTCAATATTTATAGGATACAGTCATTAATGCAAACATACGGCGACAATTAACGTTAATTGCCTTCTTGCGCGTGGGTAGTTTATTGGACAGCACGCGGGCTCTGACATGTTGAACTTTCATCACGGGCGGTGGGCTCGGG